TAACATTCAGTGTTTCACCCCCCAATCCTCCGACTCCTCCTGATAATAATGCTGCACCTGGCATGCTGCGAGAGGCAACAGGATCCGCAAGTCAAGCTTCCTCCAGCCTCTAAGCTTCGGTTTCCCTGCATTCCGCATGGGTCCTGTCGTCGCCTTAACACTCGTACACGCATGCCTGCGATGACTGTTTCAGTATACCGACTTCCCCCAACCAGTGGGCGCAAAGCCTTCCTCCGACACCTACAGGAGATGGTGCCGAAGAATCGGATGAAGCAGCACCTTGCACGGCATAAGGAGTTTCTCAAACTTGACTTGTATAGACAAGAAGCGGCTTGCAGAGGGCCCTCAAGCCTCATGAACTGATGGATTCAGTGCAGGTTCTCCACAATCCAATCTACTATCTGCTCAGCTAAACCCACACAGCTGCACTTCAAGTGTCCCGAGAGGCCCCAATAAACCTCTCGAGCCCTTGAGGGTTGAACCATTGCGTTCTCCTGTTTCGTCCTTCCCCGATGTGTGGTTTCTTGCTTGTTCATCCAGCTGAGTACTTCCTTTTTGAAGGGCTTAAAGTCTTTCTCTGGACATTGAAGGCAGGTGCAATGAATTGCTGTGTCTCGGAAAGTTGAGCGAGACCGTGCAAGTAGTTCGGGTGAGCTCGACTGCCGTATCCTCGGAGTTGAAGCCATGTCCACATCAAGTCATTCCGCAAACTTGGAACCTCCTGACGTGGAAGGAGCCCTGCATGGGTTCTGGGAACAGGGCACAGACAGCTCATCCCCGTTATTTGCTTAGTTTGCCTGGTCGCCTTGCTGGAGCATTGCAGCAGTGCTTTTGCAGCAAACTCAGCCCCTTGTAATCCTCAAACATCGGTTGGAGGAGCCTCAAGACTTCAAGACAACTGCACACTTCTCACTCCACGCTGGGATCTGTGACATGCCATGATGTTGCAGCTTAGGTTTCGATGTCGTAAACACTTAGCCCACCGTCTCCCTTCATTGCATTGCGGAAGCCAGGCACAAAAAGAGGGATTGCCCATTGCGACAAATTGAGCGACTCAGCTCAACATACCGCGCAGACTGCGTGAGGGATTCGGCAAAATAGAATCTACTTGTCCGTACAGCGGCGACCGGTTTCACGCGAACCAATGGGTGCACACATCGTTCTGTCTTGGTCCC